ACGTAGCTTTCCCGAGGAACTTCAGTTGAGATATCAAATCTGCTGTTTGAAATGAACCTCACATAAAATAAAAATCAGCTTACCCTCTCCGAAAGAGTACATTCAGAGGGGCGAAGAGCTAGGGGGATTAGGAAGTGGGGTCATTGGAGTAGTAGTTTATGAAATAAGGGGAATGGGAATGGCAATGGGACTGAGACTGGGAATGGGGGCTTTCGTACAACTCGTTTTTCGCTGGCCACAATTTTTTCAACATTATAATTTCGCTTTGAATTACACACATTGCACAAACAGAACAACCGAGCAGAGCGGCCAACACTACGACGAGTATTAACCAAGTTCATTGACTTGTTGGCCAACAACTACAAGAACTACAACAATAGAGATGAAAAGCACATTATGATTGCAACAAGTTTGCATAAAGCCAGAGCGCTGATTATTTTAGCACTTATTAAATTTTAGCACAGCGGCCAACACAAGTGCCAACAGCAACAACAATAACAACAACTAAAGAGAGACTATAAGAACACCATAATTATCATTCCCATAATCATGATCATCATCTCGATCTGGCTATCGAACAGCAGCTGCATTTCGCGTCTGCTTAACTTCTGATTTTCCAGCACAACTTTTCCACATGCAACTTGCTGCTCCTCCTCGATCAACTCAATTGCTGCCGTTCACTTGCTCCGGAGATCCCCGCCAGCTGCACCAGAGATGAGCACTAGGTTATGGTATTGACCACAAGAGAGGCTTTAATGTTTCCTGTGCAATAATATTCAAACACGCTTTAATCTTTTTAAACTTTATTGAACTTTTTTTTCGTCAGTTTTAGCTTGTTTACTTTCTTCTTCTTAAGTTTTATGTTGATAATAATGAAAAATATGACCAGCTCCTTTCTATTTAGCTGCGACTTATTAAGGTCCTTAGTGCGTACTCCTATTCCTTTTAACTGCGAAAGTTTCCCCTAGAAAAAATCGCACTATAACCAGTCTTACAGCTAACTTAATCAAAGTTCTCCTATCTTTTCCAATTTATCTAGCTTGTTTTTTCTAAACATAGATAATATTTGATCTTGCTTAAAGTGACTAAGCTAGATCATCTCTGATTTGGTTGCATATGCAAAAGCCAGCAGCCGTCTCGTCTCGTTTCTTCGGCTGTCCATCCGCGTGTCCACGGTCCGTTCGATGTCCAAGTGTCCGGACAATGCCCGCCAGCTATTTTACACGCCATTGACTTACAAGTGGAAGAAGCTGGGCCAGGAGGATTGGTGCTACAATGGAGATGCTACCAAATGTTAGCCAGCATGTGTTGAAAATGTACCCCAAGGCAGAATGGAATCGGCTTCGGCAGCTTCTGCTGCAGTTGCAGTTGCATCTGTAGTTTCTAGATGATCTTCGTAGCTCCCCCGCACTGTTCGATCAATCGATTCTTAGATAGTTTTTGCAGATGGTTTCGACTTTGCTGGAGGGTACTCCTGCCTCTCACTATCCATTGATTGTGGGATTAAGACAGTTCCTGTTCCAATTGCTGGTGTTCCTCCTCCTTTGCTACGAACGATCCCTCCCATTTCCAATCTCCTAGTGGCGGTGGATCTGAAAGTGCACTAAAAAGAAATTTCTGTAGCTAAATTTTGATATTAAAGAGCAAAAATTTTTACTTAAAACTCCACTCACTAAAAAGAGTAATAATTTGGTGTATTATTTAATATTAACATGATCTAAATAAATCAATGTACATAAAAATATTTATTAAGATTAAAATGGATTTCATTGTTGTACTACATTTTTTATCACTAGACTCTCTCGACCACGCTTGTCAGTAATATAAATATGAAAAAGTATAGATCCAGTTCAATCAACTTTCTGCCAGTGCACACCATCACATCCCGTGTGTTGTCCTATTGTGGCTCGTTTCCTGCTTTTCGCAGTGCTTTGTGCTGCTATTCTGTTCGCCCTCCTTCGGTGTCTGATTCTGCTCCAGCGCTTGTGTCTGGCCTCGTTTCCTTTCACAGGGAACTTGCAGCGCTGCGTTGGCAACATCATCATTACCTGGCCACAGCAAAAAAATAATACAACAAAAATGCGAACAACAAGACCAACAAAACTGAACCATTTTTCAGCTTTTCCGTTGAGTTCATTCAACTGGCGCCGCCTGCTGAGATTTCTTCGGCTGTTATCCCGCCAACCTCCTTGGCCGGCAAACTTTTGTGTTGACAACTACAGCTAACAAAAAAAAAACAAGGAAAAAGAAGATGGAAAAATCTAGGAAAACAGAAACCAAGTTTGGGCCACCACCCCACCAACAGAAACCACCGCTCTCCAGTTGATGGATGCAACTGTTGCAACTGTTTTGCTGGATAATCCTCCATTAAAAGAAGCAAAAAACCAAGTTGAAGTGCTGAGAGAAAGTGTGGCGACTAGACTGTATCCTCTTTCTTTATTATACTAACTTTCTCTAGATCTTCATTTCCAAAAAACACCTAAAATATAGAAATTGATTTAACTTAAAACTATGAACTAAATTTAAACCATTAACCACTGATCACAAAACTTGGAAAACTAATTTGTTTTTTGCATAAACTTAAAGGTATTCCTCCTCATGAAAAATATATGGCTTGGAAAGTTGCAAAATTTTGACTTTGCAGATTTATAGACTAGCTATTCAGTTTTCATTTTCGTTAGTTTCCCTAGTTAGCCTAAGGTCTGAATTATAGCCTTTTTAATCAAGGAGATCGTTAAGAAGCAAATTCCTTAGTGTTTTATAGTTTTCTTGTTTCGGCCTTTGCTGATCCTAAAAGTTTATGGCTATAAGAATTAATTATTTTTTGCTTGTTACAAACGCCCTCAGAAATAAAATAGACCCCCACTTGTCCCGACGAGGAGAGGGAATGGAAAAATATATGTTGCCTTGTGGCTTTGGCCTGGGGTGAAAATCGTGAGTGGCGGCGGAGCTTTCGAAAATGTGCCACGTTGCACTTGTTACTTGCACCGCGATTCCTCTTCGTTTCTATTTTTTTCTTTTTTTTTGCGATTCGTGTTTACCGTTTGCTGCCTTCTTCTTCAAGATAATTTTTCCTTCTCCGAAAGCTGTGAAAACTGGGAAAAGGAGGATGAAGCTGGAGCAGCTGCACCGCCGCCACCATCATCATCATCTTCATCTCCTACTTGTTGGTGCTTATGGTTTATGTAGGAAACGTGCTGAGTGCCGGCGTGGAAATCTTTGGAAATTGCTCATTGTTCTGTCTCTGTGGAAAATGCAATTTAATTGCATTCTGCGCGGGAGCCAAGAGGATCCAAAATCGTACGTGGTATAAATATTATCAGCACCTTCCTGCGCCTCACTCAATCAATTAGGTCTAGATCGCACTGGATCTGTTGTAATTGAAATGCCAGATGGAGGCATTCTCTCTGAGTTCCGAGGAGCAACCAGACTAATGACCATGGCCATGACCGGGAGCTGGATTCAGTTCAGCATTCTCGGATTCAAAGAACCATCCGAATAGAAATCGAATGCTACAGGGAGGGGGGTCCCTCTACAAATTGTGATATATTCCACGTTGCTGCCTCTGTGCTGGCATCTCAAATGTTTTAATTTCTTCGGAACAGAAATAATATCCCATGGACTGACGGAGCTGGGAAGTAGTGGTCATTGACATTGTAATTTAGTTGTGATTTTTAGAGAAAGAAACTTGATTTATTTTGAATAAAAAGGTTAATGCTAATAATTTCAAATTAGTTTAGAAACTTCTGAAGAAAGAATTCATCTATATATACTTATTTAATAATTTACTAGAATTCAGAGAAGTAAAATATTTCCTAAAATGCATTAAGGTAAGTCATATTTATTCATATTTCTTGCCAAGTAATATTGAAAAGTTTATAAGGCTCACAGACTAGATCTCATTAAGATTGAAAACATTTTTAGGTTGTCTTAGAAAATTGAAAATCTTTCGGATTGTGGTGCTATAATCTCAACAAGAAATAAACAATGTATAATTATTCAAGAATTGTCTAAAAGTCGAATATATAAAAGTATATTTCGACTTAATACTTTAAACTTTAAAATTTTTTAGTACACAACCCGCTTTATGGGATAAACTTTAAATATTTCGAAACCTTTTGAAAATATTTTAAGAATCTTAATTTCAATTTCTTTCTTAAATTTAGTATTCTAGCCAAGTTCATTAATTTCAATTTGAATACTTTTTGGGCTAAAATCGATTTTCGTTGGGGATTGTCACTTTGCAACTTCCGATTCCCATCTAAACCAAAAACTTCCCCTCAGGCTCAATAAATCATTTGTCATTGTGAGTATTTTCACCATTTGCCAAATAATTTGGCGACCCTCGCCAGACAAGAATTACATATGTATGTATGTATTCCTTTCCCCCCTTAGAAACAATAGGGAGAACTGCGACTATTATTCAAACTCTGCATGGGCAAACCATTAAAACCAAAAGTGTAAGCCAACAAGTTGAAACAACAGGGGCGAAAAAAACAGATACAGGAAAATTTATTTACAATTCACGCACGAAGCAACACCACGGATCCAACTTCTATAGCCTCTTACCAATTTGCATATTCATGGAACTTGATACACCCCCCGAGCTGAGAATTTGAATTTAAATTTGAATTTTTATTTCATTTTTCTCCTTTTGCCAGTGGACGAGCCACGTGCTGTGCTGGCTTGTAATGACGTCATTAAGTGCTTTTCAGCTACCAAACTGTAACCAAAGTCTGTCCCCAATACCCCTTTCATAGCCCAGTTAACCCAATCACACAAGAAGAAAAGGCTTGAGAATAAAATAACTAATATCAAAATATTTTTAAACCAAATTAAAATAAGAACATCATTATTTCCTTAAGGTGAACTTCTAGTTTTAAATGTCAAATATTTAAATGACGGAACGAAGTATTTAATTTGAAATTTCGTGGCTCTAATTCTGTGGTCTATAAAAACCTTGTTTAAAAGCGAATCGAGTTAGTTCTTGAGAAAATCTAGAAGGTCAAACACTATGCGTAACATTGGAAGCTTCTTGAGTTTTGTTGGTAAGTTGTTTCTTATATTGACACTTAAAACTAATAAGTAAATAACTTTAATATTTGATTTTTTAGTAATTGCAATGCTAGCAGCTGCCTTGCAGCCGCCAAGATGTCCAGGAGGTTGCCAGGGCTGGAAGCAGGCTGGCTAGTCCGAAAGTCTAGCATTGATCCAGTTTGTTGGTTAATTAAATGCAATTTAATGTATCAAAAGAATAAAAACCAATAAACAATTTAAGAAAATGTATAATAAAATGTGTTTTTTTAAAGATATATTAATATATATCCTAATAAATCGCAGCTCTTCTTTTTCCTTTCCGTGTATCATTCTCTTTCTCCACGGTCCCGATCATTAATTCGAACGATGCGATCTTTGACATTTTTATACATTGCTAACCATTTTCCTAAAGCAATTTTTCCTAATGGAAAATTTTTTCGCTCTTTCTCTGATCGGATTTCTGTGGTACAAGCAGAGGCAGAGAGAGAGGGAGTTATTGGCCGGGCCAAAAGATACAAAGATTAGTAAAGAAAAATTGTTAATGGTTATTTTTGAGGTAAAATAAATTTGTTCCACTGAAAGAGAAGGAGCAGATAGATGGTAGAAGACTCGAAAGAAGATCAGGAAAAGTCGTGAAAATCGTTTGAGCGGGATAATTGCCGATCTGCTGGCAAAAGGAGGAGCACCAAAAAAAAGAGTCGGAAATTACTTGACCCACAATCTGAACTCTGCAAAATTCAAACCGAATCTAGGCTAGATGCTTGACAGGAGGGGGATTGACTTCTCTCTTTCAGCGATCTTTAAGATTGCTTAGCCTTATTATGGAAGTCTGTAATTTAGGCTGCATTGTTGAGGAAAACAAGATTTTTCATTGGATTTTCAAGAGGTTCAAAGTCATTGCAAACATGATTTGTAAAAGATATAAGAAAATTATTATATTTTTATTGGAGTTAAGGGGGCATAAGTATAAAATTGATCAAAATATTTAACTTTACTTATAAGTTGAGAGATTTTTAACTAAATTATTAATATTGTTATGACTAATTTGATGTCTTAGAGACCAGAAAGAAATTATATTAAAAGATCTCCACCTACTTGGGTTTAAGTATACTTTTAAACTTCCAAAAAAAAGCCCTTCTTATTTCTTACCCGCCACAAAGTCTTGGCCGTTTCAAGGGTATTCCAAATTTCCAGGTCAAACTGCTAGTGAGAATGCCATAATTGTTGGTCAAAAGAAAAGGGTTTAAAAGCTGAGGTTTTACGGGTGCTAATGATGACGTTGAGAGGTTCTCGAGTGGAAAGAAATTGAAATGATTCCAAGAGCATTCATTTCGAAATTTGTCATAATTGGCCATTTTATAGCCCCGAGCTTCTCTCTCTCCCCAGGCCAACTCTTTTTTTCCGTTCATTTTCCTTTTGTTTTTTGTGGAGTGGAGCATTAAGTGTCATTTTATTTCTTTTTTCCCAGATTTCTGTGGGATCTTTCTCTCGGTTCGTTTTGATTCCCCCCCCACAATTTCTTCGTGTTTTTTATTTTGATTTCTTTTCATCCTCACGCTCGTTTTTGGTATGGCGGTGTCCCATTTTCTGTTTTCATTTTAATTCCATTGAATTCCCCAAGGAATTTTCAGCAAGGGGAGATTCGAGAAAAATTGCTTTCTGTGTGTGTTTTCTTAGTCATCGCAAAATCTGCCTCCTGGTTTGTTTATTTTACGTTTTGGCATTGACTTTCGATCGGAACTGTAATCTGCCAAGGAATTTAAATGGGTCTTAAAGCTACTGAATCTGATATGGGCGCATGTGGGCTATTGAAATGGGATACAGATGATGGTATTTAGGAGGGATTTATGCTGACGATTTGTTTTGATGATTGGTTCTGAGATTATTTTTATTTGTCTGACATTAAAACAATTTTCCCTGTTTTTCAAGCTCTTTATATTCTTTTATTTTCATTTTTAATAATTATTAATGAAAAAAACTTCCTAATGACCTTGCCAATCATTTCAATCAAAACTTGACAAATGAAAAAATGTTCTGACTTAAGAACCTTAGAAAATCCACTTACCTGTTGATAATTAAAATTGTTTACATCTCATTTTACTTTACTTTACTTTTTATCACTCTATGTAAAATTTTATAAACTTTTTGTGGTATATTTTAATGTGCAACGTTTATAATGTAACCAATAATAAAATTATTACATTTTTTAAATGTTTAGAAAACAAATATTTTACGATTTTAAATGATTTTTAATCTGTGATCTTTCTTAGCTTTTTAAAAAATATTTACTCTTCCTTTTCAAACCCGAATTGCAATGTACCGTTCCATGATTTCCCCTCCTCCTGTTAAACCCTTTAAGTTGCATCTCCGTTGAAGCTCCTTCGTGACTGGAAGTGTCAGACACGCTGTCATAAATAACCCATGGCCCTATGAAGTATTTTTTAGGCTTTCCCAGCAATTGCAGCAAAAACGAGAAGGAAAAACAAAGTTGGTAAAGAGAGTTGGAGCGATATCTTGGCTATTTCTCTGATTGATTGATTGCTGGTACCGTCTGGCATCGCATCTGACCCTGAATCCCGACTCCCCGCAATGCCAACAACAACACGAAAACAGAAATCAGAAAACAGAAGCAAAACAGGCGATTGCAACTGCAGCTCAGTCAGAGATCAATCGCAAAAACTGCGCAATTTCAATAATTCACAAAAGGAAACGTTCCAAAAAGGGGGAGTGGGTTGGAAGAGAGGGGGGAGGAACGCTTGCAAGAATTATGGCTCTGTCAATGTCGAAAGAGGGCGGAGGGGCGACCCCAAAAGAGCTACCAAAAAAGGCAACGCCAATTTCAGTTTGGCAACAACATGTGAGGCAAAGGGGAAGGGATAAAATCAGCTTGGAGGAGATGGAGACGTGCTTGGAGGATGAAGGGAATCCAATTCCTCTATATATATATTCCATAGAGCACCCCCGACTTTAATAAACGCATCGCTGCACAGACAACTGCCAATGAGCACAATGAGAAATGTCTAAAAATCGCAAGCCCACTCCGTGCGATCAAAGTCCCCCTTTTCTCCTTTATTTTCTTGTCTTCTTGCCTCGAGCACTCCTCCCTATCAATTTTCTGTAAAGACACTGGTAGAAAATTGGTTGTATTTCTGAAATCGTAAACTTAAGTTTGATATCTTCTGTAATGCATTATCATATTTACCATATTCCCTTCAGAATCATACTTAAGAACCAATTTATTTTCTTTTATATCAGAAAATTGAATTTTCTATTGAATTATTTTCTATTTCTTTTTGTGCTGCAGTGCATCATTGTCAGCCGTGTTGCAAGTTTCAAGTTGTGTGCTGCTCCCATTTAAGGCGCAATGACGCTTCGCTCATGCGCATCACGCACACGACAAGCCTCCCTCCTCCCAAACCGCCCACCTTCTTCTCGCACCTCCTCCTCAGCAGATCCTCCACCTCCTCTTCAGCGGCTTGCAGGTCGGCTCCTCCCTTCACTCCCAATTGTCACCATGCAACATCATCGGTAACATCGGCACATGAAGTCTGGAGTGAATCCGTTGCCCCAAAACGTTCGCTGGTCGTTTTATCAAAGCGAATCGGAATCCGCGGAGCAGCAGCGGAAAATTCACGACCTGGAAACTCAAAACGACTCCAGCTGAAGTGTTTATATATGGGAAGTATATCTATGGGTATAATATATAAAAATATATATTATAAATATATATATAATCATCAGTAATTACTTTTTAATATAACAATGTAATACTTCATTTATTGGCTGTTTTACAGATATAATAAACTATATTATTTTTAGGTGCACTGATAATTATATTCAAATAAAATAATAATTCATTAAAATATATTTTTAGGGTATTTGAGTATTCTGTAATGTTAATTTGAACTCCCCCAATCAGCTGTTATTTTTTCTGCCCTGTCAGTTTGCCTTCGGATCTGCTTCATTGCCGCATTGATGCAGTTGCACTCAGTTAGTCAGTCCCTTTTTTTTGCTTTTTTACTTGCCCCATTGCTTGGCTGGTGACATGTTGGCTATTTTTAAACGCCGCATCTGCAGCGATTTGCAACGAAACTAAAAGAAATCTCTGCATGCTGCTGAGCCATTTGCTGAAATGCCCAGTTTACACAGAGAGAAAATGTTGTAGATTATGTAAATGCAACTAGAAAAGCTCTTTTTGTTGAAAGTTATAAAAAATAATTTAAGAAATGTTAAATAGTTTCCTAAAAGTTTTAGGAATTTGCTATTATTTTCCGTAATCCGTTTTAACTTGATTTATATTCAAATTTCATTAGCAAACCCCTTTAATTTACATTTAGATATTCGTTCACTGTAACCATCTTGACTCCGTGGAGCCTCTACCGTCTTTTCCTTTCACAGTTGACAGCTTTGCGCTTGAATTGCCAATTTTTCGCCCTGAACCTGAGAGCCGTATTTGAAAGCGCGCAGCTGTGCCCAGCTGTGTCAATCGCGTGGCATAGTGTGGGTGGACAATCAATTCCGCCAAGAGCTAGAAGAGTTACCATTTTCCCTCAAAAAACCCCCTGCATCTTCCACTTTTCCGCCTTTGTTCTTCGTTAACTTATTCGCCGAGCCTCAGGTGTTTCTCCACATATACATGCGAGTACTATTTGTAACTGTTGCCGTTTCCGGTCATCAACTTGCCCACTTACGGATGTGTAAGGCCCCGCCCGCTCTTCTTTTATCTACTTCCCCCCGACCGACCACTTTTTCTTCGGTTTTATTTCTTGACTTAACTGGATTTCACTCCCCCAATTCAGACTTAAGAGCCCATGGGCGACAGAACGCTAATGACATTCAACACTGTATTCTTTGAGCTTTGTCGGTGTCAGTTCTTATGGTTTTCGATACCCATTAGAGGGAATGGGCATATGGGTTTTGAGTAAATATATAATATGTCTGTGGAGATGTCTTTAAAAGTCCACATACTAAATATCAGATATTTAAGTCTTTTTGTTTCCGAGGTTCCAGGGTTAATTACCTGCATTTTGGATCCATAATCTTTAAATGTAAATGTTTGGGATGTAAGGTCATAAGATTTTCATAACATAAAACGTTTAATGTTTTAAATATATTTATTATTTATTTATTAGGAAATCCTAACATTTAGTTAAGTAAATAAGAGGGTATCTTTCGCTCGACTACCTCTTCTAAAGTTTTCTTTCGTGTTATTTACTTAGTGCACGTGTTACCAAACGAAATTAACATTA